CATTTGCTGTTGTGTTAAACTTATATTAAAGTTTTTCTTCATTACCCATTCAAGCCGTCTCCAACCATTATATGGACTTGTGTTTCTCTGCTGATTTCATACATCATACCAAAATAGAAACAGAGTAATACGTTTTTCTACTGAATAATAAGACGGCTATATTAAAACAATGGCGAGTGAAAATGAAACAACAAATGAAAGTTAAAGAAATGAATACAGTGATTGAGAAATTTAAAAGTAAGAAACAAAAGTAACCAAAAGTGACCATCCAGCACCAACAAAGGGAAAGAACAAAGCCCCATGTAGATTTTTATTTAATAATTATTGGAAACCTGCCAGCTCGTGTAGTTTATTCTTGTAAATATAATGTTTTTTATTACATAAAGTAAAACAAGGATGTTAACAGGATAGTGTTGATACTGGGAAAATGAGTTAAAAAATATTCAGAGATACGCTAAATGTGGCATTTATAAAAATGGCACCATTAATAATCTACAGTGAAAATAGTAGAACGCGGTCCATAACACCAGAAAGAAAATTTATACAGGTTTGTTGAATTTATTTCTTTTATAAAATGTTGCACTTTCAGTACGCCATTTTCTCCTACTTTGTATTAATACTGGTTAACCATTGGATCTGTAGGTCCGTGGTTCGCGTCCCGTTGCTACAAATTAGAACTGTGTGCTTTGGGGCTGCCAGTATGTTATAAAGATGACAGTCAAATTCTACTGTTCGATTAGATTATCCCCCCCCCCAAATTGCAGTGGGAACTATTTACTTGTTGCTTCCCTTCTTGTCTTTCAGTTCAAAATTAGATATACCTAACGATTTTGTAGCCTTACTCGAATATCTAAAATCAAATCGAACCTGAGATAATTAGTGTGTATGATGTATAATCGTGTTAAATTTAAATCTACAATACTGAGGAGTAAAAATGCTAAAAACTTATTAAAAGAAATAGACTTATGCACCAAAAATGTAGACTAAGGAGACGAACAACCCATATTTAAATTTTCCCTTGTAATATAAACACTAAATTAAATATGTTATTATTTTCTACTTAGTATGGAATGATTAATAAGAAAATATGTTCAAATGTATTTAGTCTGTAAAGTTAAAAGTCATTAAAATATAATATTAAAAGTATATTATTATTCCATAAAATCTAATAAAGAATAAAACTTATCCAATATTTCATAAGTACTATATTCTCGTGCGCAATTCTACAGAAATCTGATAGTTAATAATCTCATCGTAACGAACTAATCCGTCTCGTGTACATATCGTGGCTGTCTTGTATTCTGTAATGAAGTCTCTGTGACCTAGTATTTAGGTTTCAAAGATATAATCTATTCTCCGTTATACTCTTGAATAAGTTTTAACTGATAAATTTGATCAATTTATTGTCATTATTATCGTAAATGAACATTACTAGATTTGTAACACACAGACTGAAATCATATCTTATATATATAAACTCTTTTGTTTACATCATCACAATATTTTTTTTTTCGTTACAACTAAATGACTACAAAATTTTAAAGAAAAATACGTAGAATAATTTCTACTAATAACGTGTAAAGTAGCGTCATCTTTAGCAGCAAATTCGAAACAAGAATTCCTCGCCAAAGTAATCCACTGATGGAATATTTTTGTTTGACCATATATATTTCTTCCAAAAATTAAAGTAATTTTTTACATTATATTAAGATACTTCTTAATAAATGCTACATTGATTTTATTTTATATTTATATATTAATTAATCTTCAAATGTAATATATATTATCTAATATACATGTATATGCTCTTAGCAATTACAAATAACAATCAATGAAACACAAGAAAATAATAATTACACTTAAAAAAAACTGCAATAGTTTATACCTTAAATTAAATCATATATGGCCAGAGTCATATCGTGTTAATTGTAATGATCATGGTTTATCTCCTTATTATATTATTTAGGTCACTCCTATTACATTTTATAATTTTTTGTGTCTATAATCAAAATGTAATCAATATCCAGAGACAAAATTACAAAATATATCTAAATAAGAAATAACTTTAGTAACTGATTTTTCATTTAAGGACAAGTTCGAGTACAGGACTAGAGTTGACTTCATATTCATACCTTGGAATATTTTTTCCCTTTTAAAGCTACAGGTAGAACTACTGATGGATTTCCACAATTTTAAAACTATTTAGCAACCCATATTTCCTGACACTTGACGTTACCTATATCACAGTCAGTAATCCCAAAAGAACCCATGAAAGCAAACGGAACATCTCATAACATTTCTGTATGACCTGGTGGTTAGGGAGCGGTCGACTCGCAATCTGCGTCATCGAACATGCTTGCCCTTTCAGTCGTGGGAGCGTTATAACGTGATAGTCAAACCCACTGTTCGTTGCTAGAAGAATAGCCCAAAGAGTTGGCGGTAAGTGGTGTTAACTAGCTGCCTTCCACTAGCTTATCACTGCTAAATTAGAAACGGTTAGCGTAGATAGCCCTCGATTAGCTTTGTGCGAAATTCAAAACAAAACAAACTCAAGACATTTCCTATGATACTTCAAATGAGCCTGATGTCCGCCCCTTTAAAAAGCTAGACTGATGATATGATAATAGTTTCATATATCCCTTAAATTTGAATCCAATTTTTTTCATACGAATACCTTATTTATTTGTTATTCATTTTGTAAGCTAGTTTAAGAATTGTTTCGTTTGTTTGCTTGTCTGCTTTAGAGAAAAGCCACATTGAGATGTCTGCTGTGTCCACCGCGTGAAACCGAACCCCAGATTTGAGCATTGTAAGTCCGTAAATTTACTGATGTCTCACAACGAGGGATTCTAAGAATCGTCCTTTGTGTAATAAATGTTTTTTTTATTTTGAACTAATATGAAATAACGTGAGGGTGGGCTGCATTATTTAATTGAATGCGCTGCTCTAAGGTTTATAATTGGTTAACAGTGTCTGCATGAAAACAAAGAGCAGTAAGAAATAGTTCAGTGATATTTTCTTTACTGTTCTTCAACATTTTCTGCAAACAAGAAGTTTATTGTTTCCCTGCATTTCGATAGTTACATCTAAAATCTGTACGTGTGCGTAACCTTATGCACAGTGCGAAAATAAAATTCCATGTATCTATATATATATATATATACATATTTGTTCTTTTGGTGTTGTTTTTAACTCAAAGCTACATAATATATATATATTGTTATATAGTTGTTGTTCTTTTTTAAACTTGGGATAAATTTATTTTATGTTTGCCATATTATTTACAATAATATATTTATTTTTTTCATTTATAGATAGCGCATTTAAATTACATCCAATCATATTGAAATTTAACGGCTAGGCGGTAACTATGATAAGTGAAAGAAAAATTTCAGCGTCAACTCGAGTGAGATTAAGAAATTTCTGCTAATTTTGGTATGAAATAGACTTTATAAGTAGCATTTGAATGACACTTATTATTGATTGTACTTTATTTTTAAGTGTGTTAGAGCATTTAAGATTCGACGTCAGACTGTTCTGTGTTTGCATCCCATATTTCGCTATCAGCCTATACATAATACAGTATACTACAGTATAGCCTAGGCTATAGTAACACAAGTTTATTAATTATAAACTTTATAAAAATAATTATAAAGATTTACACTGTAGTGCGAGTTACAATTTCATTAATTAAATCTTTAACAAGTTAGTTACATTTGGACACAGCTTGTCACGTTAACTTTAAAGTTTATACAGTCACTATTCACATGTTACTGCTTTGCTTACGATATCAACGGAAATACATGCCAGGAGTCATACGTCATCGTACCAAGAAAATTAACGATTACGATTTACAGATTACTATAGGCTATAGCCTAGTTTGATAGAATAAGTAAAGTGATACTAATTTTAAATAATAGTAATACTAATAGTCGAGTTACTCGGTGAAACAAGCTATATAAACAAATTCACTACTTCTTTTTTTTTTTTTTAATGGGACATTGGTAGTTTTTCTTAGAAGTTAGATGCATGGTTTCACTAAGATTGAAGGATGTTTATAACTTTTTGCATCCTCGTTTAAATTTAGAAGGAAAATGTTAGTTTTTAACAATGTTTGGTTTACTCATAGGAAAATAGTTTGGCATAGTTATCCTACTAGCAGTACTCAGACAATATAAATAAGCAAACAGTAGTAATGACATACATGGAACTCTCCTCACCATAATATTTCTCCTACCTATCAAACAAAATTTACTAATTAGTATATAATTCTCAAAACAACCATATTATCAAACTGTTTCAATCGGGAGGCTTGCTGGGACTGAAGTTACCCTAAAATGTACCTTAGTCTCCCCTGTAGCTTCCACACCCAATGAAAAGAGTTTACTATTAAAGCTAGTTCACTCCCTAAATAGGCTTGGCATGGCCAGGTGGTTAGGGAACTTGACTTGCAACCTGCAGGTCACAGGTTCAAATCCCCGTCATCGAACATGCTTGCCCTTTCAGCTGTGGAGATGTTATAATGTGATGGTCGATCCCACTGATCATTGGTAAAAGAATTGGCAGTGGGTTGTAATGACAATGTGCCTTCCCTCTAGTCTTTCAGTGCTAAATTAGGGTAGACAAGCACTGATAGCCCTTGTGTAGTTTTGTGCAAAATTCGAAACAAACCAAGTCATTTCATAAGTACTACAGTATGTGTGCTCACAAGATGAAGAGTGCAGCTCACCTCAGCCCCATCACTGGGAAGAGGCTGGTGCCACCCCTTATTTCAAAAGTGAATAGTTTCAATCAAGTTTTAGTTGTTAGGTTTCCAGTGGTTGTCAAACCATCTAATCTTTAGAGCAATTAATATTAACTTCAGATTAAAGTAAGCTTCTCGCATATGTAGATCAGGACTAAAAGCTCACAGAATAATGACTATAGCAAATTTAATATAATATTATGTTCAATGATTAGTATTGTTTTTCCTTCAGTTGGTATCCTTGCATTTAGCAATTCTTTTGGCCATAATCTCAATAATATCTCATGGTGTTTGGCCAGCTAAGTATTATTTGGTCTCTCTAGGTTATCCTTGCATACCCACCATTAAGAAGAGTAACAAATTTAAACCTATCCTTAATTTTCAGTGGCATATTTAGGTCCATGAAGGCCCTGGGGCAAGAACAATTTTCCCCCACCCCAGCTCTCACAGACCCATCCCTATTAGTGTTACATAAGGAAAATAATTCATTGAATTATAGAAAAAATTAATTTTATATATTTCAGAAGCTGGATCAGGTGAGCCCCCGGAAAACTACTTACCAGTTTGTACATTGCTGTTTGTTTTTGTGCTACGACCAACTTCCCTCTTAATCCAACACCTCCAATTCCTCAGCAATAAAACTGAGGGCTTGTGATGTTGAAAGTCAGGTTTTGAACAGAGCACAGGTAACCAACAAAGAAGCCCTCTTAAACATTTGTAATGCATCAGCCTCTGCTATTGCTGATAGCATCTTGTTCCATCAGGCAACCACCATCTTTTCCAAGTTTTAAAATTGTGTTCTGTCGTTCTTTTGACTTCATAAGAAACAAATCAAAGTCCTTTAACTTATGGATCTCTTTGATAATCTAGTGAATTTCAACAAGATCACCTCTTACATTTCTTTTCTCAAGAGAAAAGATTGTAAGCTATCCCTGTAAAGTATCCCAGCATAGTAGTCATCATTCTGATGTTTTTCAATGAATCAGTATCAAAAGTTCTAGTTTGGTTATGATAATCGGTAACATCGTTTGTAGAGAGAAAGTTTAAGAAAGAACTAATAAAATGCCTGTTTATATAGACATTAATGTTAATGAGATATTAAAGAAAGATATTTAGTTCTCTAAGAATTAGATAGGGACTTGTGTATTTTTGTGGCCATTGTTTAATTATTTTATGTTTTCCCACAGACTATTGAAGTTGTTTACAAGTCATCAAAATGAACGGTAAGTCACTAACCTATGTCGGTGTGCATTTCTAAATTACGTAAGTTGCTGATTAGACATGGTAACTTCTGGCTTCCTCAGCTAAAAAAACTACAGAAATTATATTCTGGTTAACTATGATTAATGTTTTTTTTGCAGGGTTTTTATAGTGTACCATCTTCACTGAAGGTGGAGCTTCCCCATTAAAATTGGAGATTTTTCATAACCAATCATAGCATGCAATGTGATTGTATTGGGAGGGAGCAAAATATTATTCATTCACATTAGCATAACCCAGTTTTATTATTTATTGAAAAAAACAAAATTACAGAACTGTGCAATTTTGAAACTTCTTTAAATAGATTCTGAGGAAGTTCAATATTTAATGTACTGATTGTTGTAAAATATTAACATAAACTCTGTGGCATTGCTAAAGTATACAATGTAAAAGGCTACAAGTATTCATTTTTTAGACTTTGTTTTGATGGACATTTTGACTTTGAATATAAACCTTTAAAAGCAACTTTCAAAATAGTTTATGCTAATGATTTCTGACCATTATTTTATGACCAATCAAGTGCCCAACCCTGTATTATTTGATAAATATCCCTTCAAATTTCAGGGCCATTATCAAGGCACAAGTTTAACTCAGTTATACAGCCACAGCATTTTATGCATAATTTACATATGACCGCATAATCAGTGGTTTACCACATGATCACTGCTTAATGGAAGTCAAATCTAGGCATGTGTTACCAGATTTAATTTAGTTACAAGTTTGTTTGTTGCTTGACAAGTGGCTATTAATCAGACTATCTCTCGGTCAGATGGTCTGGTTAATAGTATATATAACGGTCAGATGGTCTGGTTAATAGTATATATAACGGTCAGATGGTCTGGTTAATAGTATATATAATGGTCAGATGGTCTGGTTAATAGTATATATAATGGTCAGATGGTCTGGTTAATAGTATATATATAATGGTCAGATGGTCTGGTTAATAGTATATATAATGGTCAGATGGTCTGGTTGATAGTAGATATAATGGTCAGAGATGGTCTGGTTAATAGTAGATATAATGGTCAGATGGTCTGGTTAATAGTATACCACACATAAACTATAAGATTTAAGCTTCTGTTAGTGGTGGAATTACATTAACTTTGTTTAATGTCCTCTTAAACATTACTATTTTACTTTCAGTAAGATTGCATAATTTTAAATTCCCTTCCATAATCAATGCATAATGGGTTGTTGTTTTTTCATAATCAACACTTTTATGGTACATAATTTCAAACTGTTGCATATTTACATAATTTTTTTTTTTACTGGCCTGCATTATTTGTGGCTTACAAATAAAACCACGGATGAGAAAAAATGAAGTCAAATTAAACATCAAAGACACACATTTGTTTAAACCACATATGCATTTCAGTTGTTAAAAAAAAAACATTGGGTTTGATATTTAAAATGCCAGTGTTGGAACCTTTCAACCTGACCTGAGACCTTTGGCTGGGTCAAGAACCATTAAACCATGTTTTGTGGAAACTTGTGCCTTGATAATGGCCCTGAAACCTTTGGCTGGGTCAAGAACCATTAAACCATATTTTGTGGAAACTTGTGCCTTGATAATGGCCCTGAAACCTTTGGCTGGGTCAAGAATCATTAAATCATGTTTTGTGGAAACTTGTGCCTTGATAATGGCCCTGAAACCTTTGGCTGGGTCAAGAACCATTAAACCATGTTTTGTGGAATGCGTTGGGATGTTTCATTTGAGAAGTGACAGAATTGTTTTAAGGTCATGACTGGTAATTTTGAGATGAAAGAGAAGAATTTCTCTGTCCTGATTCCATAATCACCGAGAAGAGCAGTATGATATTTGTAAACAAGCACAAAGGAAAAAAGAAAAATTGTCATGGTGACGTATCATCAAATTGAAATCATGTGCATGTTAAATTTTATGTGCCTTTCCTGTTTTGAGGTTTTCGTTAGGGTGTATGCTTTAGGGTTGTTGTTTCAGATTTTTAAATGTTTATTTAATTATGCAAGTCACACTTTTAAACAGGGTTGTCTTAAATTGTTAAAATTTTGTGTTGGTGAAGTTATAGATTCATTAAATTTTAATGCTTGGTTAAAGTATGTACAATTTAAACTGTTGATTCTAGAATGTTTTTAATTCGAGATTTAATATACTTAGAATATTCGTTTGCACTTATTAACCCTATAATTAACAATGGCAGAGGTACATTGAATATATAAACACATTTTGTTTTAACTCTTGTGGGACCACGGCCGTTGGTTACAGGACATTAACATGAATTGTGTGTTAAATTGTAAACAAAAATAGTTATAAATTTTGCAGTAAATCCTACAAATTACTACCAATTTTTATTACATGTTTTACATAAAGAATGAGGGATTTAACCCTTTTGTTTTAGGCAATTCTTAACATTTAACAGGCAAAAACGTAAAATTACCAATGAGATGGAATATATCAAGTCACTGGTAGTAAATGGTATTTAAACAAGTAGGTTGTCTGTAATAATGTTGTGAAAAACATTTCCGTCACTTTTATGTTTACTTCTTATCTTTATTAGACTGTCCTGTAGGAGTATTAGTTGAGTTCAACACAACTGATACTGACCTGTCATCTCCTTCTACATTTGAGACCTCTCTAACCAAAGAATCTCCAGCTAAAGACAGTAAATGCATGATGGGAAATAGGAGAAACACTGATGATGTTACCTTCTTTGGCCTGCAAGGAAGAAAGATAACGTCAGAACTTAGTATGAATGGAGTAATTAACAGGTCACCCTTGTGTGAAAAACTTCTAGACATTACAGAAAATGAATCAGATAAAGAAAGAGAAACGTATCAAATTCATGGTAAACAAAATTATACTTTGGAAGCTGAGTGTAAAAAACAAAGTCGAAGTAGTGAGTCGTCACACTTGTGTTGCTCTGATGAAAATGGTTTGCAGAAAGGTGCTGCGCACTGTTATCAGACGAAAACTTTTCAAAATTGTTTGCCCAATAAAACTAAAGCCGTTCATGGAAGCTCCTCGAGTTCTAGCAAATCCAACCTTACTGCTGTAAAGAGTGGTTCGTGGAGTCCCTCTATGATTGGTAGAGGTAAGTTTGGTTAGTTCTCATATTTAAATTAAAGATGGCTGTTGATTTGAAGGTAAATACAAGGTTTCCGTCATTTCACATGGAAAATGTTGAGAGATTTAGGATTATACTAGCAGAAATTCAGTAAAGTTATTTTAAAATTGTAATTGATACATGTTTTATACACCTTGAAATGTCTACATAATATATGTAGTAGTTGCAATGTTTGTGTTTTAAGGTATTTATTAAGGAAATTTACTTTTTAAAAGCGTTCACTAATATACATGTTATCCTATAGTTGAATGACTGTAGTTCCGGAAGACTTAAGGAGAAAAACTTTGATAAAAGATAATAGAGAATAAATTTTTCTAGTTTATTTTGTGTGATGTTTCGGCCAGCTGCCCTTTATCAGGAAGTAAAGACCGTAACGACGACATAAGCTTCTCAAAACATCGTACATTAAAAACATACTTTCCCTCAGTACCCATTCTAGCTATCTACAGACTTTAATTTCATGTGTACATTGTACGTTCAGTACTCTTATGTAGTCTGTGGTCTTATACACGAACATTAAGAATCTTATTATAATGGAGCTTGCGGTGTATACGTCCAAAACTTGGTTCTCGGAAACTACCGCATCGATCGTCACCAGTCATAACTGGGTAATATTTTTATAACTAGGCAGTATTTTTATAGCTGGGCAATAAATAAAACAATTGAAATTTCCACAAAAATGATATGTTTCAGATTTAACCAATAAAAATTACAAAAAAGGAGTAAGATTCAAATATAAAACAATCAAAAACAAACTTGAAAAAATGATTTTTTTTTTTTTAGTGAAAATCTCATAAGCTTTGCAACAGAAAAGCAAGGCACTTTCATTGATAACTATGTCTACAAAGAAATACTTCAATAAAATCTACTCTGTGATGATAGCTCATTTTTGAACTAAAATTTCAATAAAATCATTTTTCTCGTGGAAGGTGAACATTATTGAATGTCAAGTATGAGTACATTGTCGTAGAACTGTCAGACAATTCCAGAAGAGGCCACATGCCCAACAGCCTTCTGCAGGAACTAGTAGTTATATCTGCCCAGAAGGCGGGTATTTCTGCTAGTTTATTATAAGTGTACGTTACATTTGTTCCTGTGACTTCCAAGACCAAAATTTGATGGCAAAACTCCAAACATGCTTGTAGTTATTGTAAGCCATGAAATGAAGAATAAAAATAAATCAAAATTTTACTTTTAAGCATTTGAAACAAACTGAAATACATGTCTCAATAACGAAGATACACTATCTCTATTTTTAATGTTTGTTTTCACTGCATTGAAAGCATAAAAATAATTACCAATGTAATCTTATTTTTGTATTTTCAGAGGAAGAGCTTCTGGAGAATGAAACTTTTGACTTTGATATTTCTATTACGCCACCTGGTTCACTTGGGTAATGATATTTTACCTTCAGTCTTCTAGACCTGTAACAAAAAACTTTCTTGTATTTCCATATTAATATTTTAATATTAATAGATTTGTCATTTTCTTCTGTTCAATTATAGGGGTGTTATAATGTTGTGGCCAATCCCACTATTCATTGATAAAAGGTAAAAGAGTAGCCCAAGAGCTAGTAGTGGGCACTGCTTGCCAGATGCCTTCCGTTTCGTAGACAGTTCAAATTGGCGACAGATAGGTTTAGAATCGAGATTGGCACCGACAACACTTAACCCAGTTTCCTTCAGATGTGTGTTTTCTGTGGTCAAAAAGATCTTAGCCATATGGTTATGCTTATGTCATTCAGTGGATATGCTTAGAATATCAATCCTGTTATAAGCCCAATGGCTATGTTTGAAAAAAGAAAATTCAGAATACATTTCAAAATGTAGAATTACCTAGGAGTCTGCAAGTGTAACAGTCAAAAGGCCTCACTTATGGCTTAAATTGCAGTGACCCAACTAACGGTAGGTACGACTGGTATAAATGTAACCATTACCTATAATTATTGGTCACATATAATGATTGTACCTGAATTGTATATAATGTTATAACCTGAATATTTTGGCATTATTGCAACATCTTTTTTTCGCACTATGGCAAATCTGTTGTGCCTATTGATGTCATCAAATAATTAAGTGTTTCAGGTCATTGAGATGCAGCACAAGTTCGTCAGATAGGTCATAAGTTCACAGCCTTCCTGGGGGCGAGATCATTTGAATGATGCCGTAATAAATTACAAAAATAATAATTTTGAAAATACAATATATTACAAATTAGCACTTTATTGTTATTACTATTCAAATTAATTGTTTTGACTGAGCATTTACGTAGAGAACCAATCATGGGCAAGCATTATGGTGGAGGCACAAGTGCCTAAAATGTTTACAGTGAGGTGCAAGTATGAAACGGATGAGAACCCCTGAGGATGACTGAGGCCAATAAGAAAAAAAACCCATAAGGAATTCCAAACCTTTAAAACAAGAAATACTAAAAGGCTGTTCTACAATTCTGCAGATTGATTGTAAATAAAATGCCAGTCAAGACGTAATAGTTACAATATTTAATATCCTAAAGATGGCAAGTTCATCATTATGTAATCTGTTCTGTTTTCTTCCATACAACAAAGTACAAATATAGGTTACTTGTAGGTTTAACACACTACTGTAATTTGTAGGTTTAACATAGTACCGTAATTTGTAGGTTTAACACAGTACCGTGATTTGTAGGTTTAACACAGTACCGTGATTTGTAGGTTTAACACAGTACTGTAATTTGTAGGTTTAACACAGTACCGTGATTTGTAGGTTTAACATAGTACTGTAATTTGTAGGTTTAACATAGTACCGTGATTTGTAGGTTTAACACAGTACCGTGATTTGTAGGTTTAACACAGTACCGTGATTTGTAGGTTTAACACAGTACCGTGATTTGTAGGTTTAACACAGTACCGTGATTTGTAGGTTTAACACAGTACC